ACCTCATGTCCAACCTCCCATTCATCAGCACCTCCGGTTACCAAAGACGTCCCCTCCCCCTCCCTCCCTTCACAGGGGTCCACGACGAACGGCGTGTCCTGCTTGCCAGCCTGTCCTTTTCTTGCCTTGAACTTTGTACATTTATTCTAAAATCACTTTCAGGTGCTCAAGAATCTCTCCCTAAGCGTGAATGCTGGCGAAACGGTAGCGCTTGTTGGTTCGAGTGGTTGTGGTAAAAGCACCATCGTCAGTCTACTACTTCGTTACTATAACGTTCTTGGAGGAGAAGTAAGTTCAAAGCAAATCCTAGAAAAGTCTGTAACGATTCAGTCGTTGCTCTGTAAAATGTATATCGATTGGTTTGACTGACTTAAGATTACAATCGATGGCATTCCGATTACTGAGTTCAACATCGAATTTCTACGAAATCAGATCGCTGTCGTGTCACAGGAACCGATTCTGTTCAATTGTACAATTGAGGAGAACATTCGGGTACGTGACAGTGTCAGATCTCCAGTGAAGGAACATCCGCGCAGGTCATGTGGGCGGAGGCAGGCCTGCCATTACGCCTCCGTCGTGATGGCGCCTCGCACATGTATTGAACATTAGGCCTGGTTTGGCAAGTCTAGGAGGCTTAATGATAGGCCTAAATCCGCCCATATGGAAAGTTTGGAACGGTCCTTGAAGAAATCAGATGACTACTTTACAGTTAGGCCGTACGGATCTCACCTATCAGGAATTAGTAGCCGCTTGTCGTATGGCGAACGCTGAAAGCTTCATAAATAGCCTACCTCAGGTACGGAACTTTAGCTACTCCTTGTGCATGCAATGAGTTTTTTGGCAGAGTTTGGCTTGGCGGGGGCACTGAATGGTGCTCAATTAAGACTATACAGGTCACCTTGCAAAGAACTGTATTGCTGTAACCAGAGCGGCTCATTCAAACAATTTCGCAGACTTACAGTAGTTCACAGGATACAGTAACAAATCGAGGATCGTATTAGAACGTGAACCAAGAAAAGGAAGCAGCGTAATTGCAAAATGCCCCCTCCAAGCCGAAAAGCGCCGTTTTGCGTTCACTTTGACGACTTCATTGTGTGGTGCGGAAATGATTCAATGTCGAACTGGTGAAAGGTTGTTCCTATATACAATCTTCTTCGCTGCGGATGCTGAGGCTGGCTTTGGCGTGGCGCCAGTATATGCTCTACAATTCGTTGAGGCTGGCTGGACGCAACAGTTGCGTAGAATGGACAGGTCCCGCGCCAAATCTAGCCCTCAAAGCCCAACGAACAAGACTGTAGTTACTGAAAATGTTCCCCTCACCACTACCGTTTCTTTTTTCTTCTCATTGCTCCCTTTCCTTGAGTATCCTCCGGAGTACTTACTTTAATGGCGCTATTCCCCTCTAGTCCCCCAAACTTGTCCCTTCGAGTTCTTTCGCTCTGCTCTCATCTCTCACGTGGGGCGCAGAAGAAGGGCAGCCCTCAATATCGTTGTATTCAGCTCCAGTACGCTAGCTTTTGCATGTATTCGTCGTCATGTGCACTGTTATCGGATTCCTTGCTGTATTCCTTAAAAATCGTAGAAATTTGTGAGTTGCAGTTGAGCTTGCCATGGAAAGATTAGCTGTGTCATATGGAGGTATTTGGCGCACCGCCAGCCCGTCCGCACCAGCTGTGGAAGCGGGTGAGCGACCAATCCCACCCCTTGAAACGCCCCATCATCAGCAGCGAGCATGGCTGTGTAGAGAGTGGACAGTGACATGGCGCAGGGCAAA